GCTACAAAAATCCTTTAAAAATAGACTTTATTCAGCAACTACTCAATGAATTAAAAAAAGACCTTCACTCTCTATTTCCCCAATTGACGTTGAATGGAAAGACAAGGGGGAAGCATAAAGGGAATAAATAAAATACATCTAAGGATTCAAAGATTAAATAGTAAGCCAGGCACCCAGCCTGTAATTTCCAATTTAAGGCATAACTTTTGAAAGGTTCAACTTTCTAAAATATTTAAAGATTGAGTGCCTCACTGGGAATACTCATTTTGAATGACCGTGGTTGCATTTTCTCCATAGCTAGTAACAAGGTTCCTGTTCTTATGCATGTTAATTTTAAATTTCTCCAACTAAGCATAGCGCAAAGCATGTAAAAATGCAGAATTTTTTTTTTAAAAAAATGTTATTAGCATAGCTAATTCATCACATCCCGCTCAAAATGGGAACAATGTGTAACTAATTACATTGTTTAGTTTGAGCCATAGACAACCTCTTTGCCATGCAAATGTGATCGGAAACTTAGAAGCATTGGATAATCATATATCGGGGATGGTGCAGTGAATCCAAGAGTGTGCAGGGGGGTTGGACTTCATGACCACTTGGGTTCCTTCCAACTCAGATTCTATGAATATTTACAAATGTATAGATTTGATCCAAACATTAAATATTTAATTTTTTCCTACCTAAATAAAGGCATCTACTGTTTCCCCGACCTACCCCGAAAATAAGCCCTAGCTTGGCTTTTACATGTGCACCCAATATAAGCCCTACCCCAAAAATAAGCCCTACTTAAGACCCCGCCCACTCCATTGCACCTGATTGCACAAGGTGGGGCGAGGCACATGGGTAAAAATCTAGCTAGGGTAGAAATGGGGAAGTGGAGCTGCCCCACGCTCCTCGCACCAGGCACTTGCTTTAGGACAGTTGTAGCCAAGCCTTCCATGCCCCGACACCTGCCTCACCTCGCCAGCCCACTTCTTCAGTGGTTGCTCACCATCCCTCATGTGTGTCACCTCCAGCCTCCGTTTCACCATCAGAGGCCTTACAGAAAGGCATCTGCAGCCAAGAAGCGAGCTCCGAATTGACACACGCGGCACCTCCTGGCCTCCGTTTTGCCATCAGAGGCCTTTTTGAAAGGCCTGGAAGGCCTCTGAAAGCAAAATGGAAGCCAGGGAATGCCATCTGCATCAATCCGGAGCTTGTTTCTCAGCTGCAGAGGGGCAATATGCTGTCTCTCTAAACTGCTTAGAGGGGGCTGTAAAGCACTGTGAAGCTATATATAAGTTTTAAGTGCTATTGCTATTGCTACATATGCATTCAACTAGCACAGGGGTAGGCAACCTTGGCTCTTTTATGACTCATGGACTTCAACTCCCAGAATTCTGGGAGTTGAAGTCCATGAGTCATAAAAGAGCCAAGGTTGCCTACCCCTGAGCTAGCATAACAGCTTGGGAATATTTTCAACACAGAAAATGTTAACTTTAAAAATCTCAGGTCATTGTGGGTACCTTCCAAGTGGGCAAAGGAAAGCAATTATCTATTTGTAGATTATGCTTGCAAAACTAGCTGTGAAAAGTAAATGTTCCTTGTTTGAGTTAATCTCCTATTTTTTTTAAAAAAAAAGAGGGAGACAATACACAAGTAGTGTTTTGCATCAATGCCTGTGAATTTACAAAAACCTATGATATATGTGCAACATTAAACATACAAAAACTAATACATCTTAACTCTAATTGTAATGATGGAAAACTCAGAAGTGCTTCTGAACATAACTACAGCATTGGGAATAATGCTTTTATTTTCTGTCTCATATATTAATAACGTACCATTCAAGAGTGTATAGGAAGGAACATTAAAAAGTGCCGTTACTGTGATTAAAGTCGGACGCACAAATCTCCTTGAAATGATGGCTGACAAGATTTCAATTATAAACCTATAATTTCAAACAGTGGGATATTTGTAGTAATGTCAGCAGTGATAGAAGTCCATTACTATTCTTCAAAACGTGAAAGCTGACTATTCAGTTTTTAGAATTTATATAATTATAACAAATATAAGTAATTTTTGTACCCTAGAGATTTCCATTCTTGCATGCACTATAGATATTATAAAAACAATGGAAAAAAATAAAAGTTGGCACGCACAGCTGGGAATATTCTTTTATGCTGCCTATCCTGATTTTAATGATTTATTTTCAACTCATTATGGGTTTTTTTTTATGAATTTGGAACTCTATAAAGAAACTGAGACAGGCTCATTTCCAAAAGAACATTGTAATGGCAAGAACAGAGATGTATAAGAATCTTGGTAAGACCTCAAAAAAAGAAATGCAGAAAACTTCAATCACTGGGAAAATTGGAACTATTTACAAGTACCACCTAATGTTTTAAATGGTGCATAACAGATTTCTGTTTGTAATCCAGAGCATCATTCTATTGGCAAAACCAATTCTTCCTCCTTTTCCCAGATCCCTCAAATGTGCTCCACGTGAGATGGTCCGAGCAGGTTCAGACAGGATGTCAGAAGATGTGGAATTCCACAGAATAATCTTCAGAGGACTTTCTTTCATTATAAACACATATCTAATCAACAATTGCAATCATGCAGCTGCTTGCATTTTTAATATCGAAGTACAATATGAGCACATTAATTATGCTGTGAATCTGAGAATAAGAGTAGCTTCTGTCTGCATCTTTATTTCTATTTTGCTGACATTTTAAAACATGTTTTCTTTGGAAAAAAGTTTTAAAAAAGCATTTGCGTGATGGCAATTTTTTAAGATTTATGAATCCAATCAGAAAACTGTTTCTCCAGGATTACCTTGTAAAATTGATCACAAGCCTAATCTGCTTGTGTACTATGATGCAATTCAACATGATTGGCAGGACCTCTACTCATTCCTAGGTAGCACCACTCTTTTCTCAATCTCGTCTGCACGGATCATCAATCTTCTATAATAGATTTTGAAAGCACAAACCAAATTTTACTCTAATCTTTATATTTCATTTTAGGCATTTTGTGATCCTTGCACTGTATTTCCTATTTTCCACGTATAACTTTAGTAATTTTTCCTTTCGAAGCCCATATTTTAAAATCGTATTTTGTCTGCACTTCACAGAACAAACGTGTCAAATTATTTTTCAACCACTGCAGAAATTGAAGTTTTGCCAGAACAGTTTGATATCAAAAATTACTTGTTTGTGACGATGAGCGGCTATATAAATTTGCCAAATACAGTGCATTCAGAAAGTATTCAGACCCCCTTCACTTAGGTAATTTTTGTTACGCTGCAGCCTTATTCTACGGTTGTTAAGATTCATTTTTTCTCATTAATCTACACTCAGTACCCCACAATGACAAAGTGAAAACAGAACTTTAGAAATGCCTGTAAATTTATTTTTAAAACTGGCATATCACATTGGCATAATCATTCAGATCCTTTGCAACAACACTTGAAATTGAGCTCAGGTGCCTCCCATTTCTCTCGATTGTTACTGACATGTTTCTACGCCTTGATTGGAGTCCATCTGTAATAAATTAAATTGGACATGATTTGGAAAGGCACACACCTCTCTATAGAAGGCCTCACAGCTGACAGGGCATACATACTGTAGCAGAGCAAAAGCCATGAGGTCAAAGGAACTGCCTGCAGAGCTCAGAGACAGGATTATTGCAAGGCACAGATGTAGGGAAGGCTACAATAACATTTCTGCTGCACTGAAGGTTCCCAAGAGCACAGCGGCCTCCATCATTCTCAAATGGAAGAGGTTTGACACAACCAGGAATCTTCCAAGAGCTGGTCACCTGGTCAAACTGAGCAATCAGGGGAGAAGGGCCATAGTAAGAGAGGTGACCAAGAACCCGATGGTCACTCTGACTGAGCTCCAGAGATCCTGTGTGGAAATGGGACAGAGTTCCAGAAGGACAACCATCACTGAAGCCCTCCACCGATCTGGGCTTTATGGCAGAGTGGCCAGATGGGAGCCTCTCCTCAGTACAAAACACATGAAAGCCCACTTGGAGTTTGCAAAAAAGTACCTGAAGGACTCTGACAGTAAGGAGAGAGATTCTCTGGTGAAACCAAGGTTGAACTGTTAGGCCTCGATTCTAAACGTTATGTCTGGAGGAAGCCAGGCACAGCACATCACCTGCCCCAAATCCTCACAACAGTGAATCATGGCAGTGGCAGCATCATGCTGTGAGGGTGTTTTTCAGCAGCAGGGACTGGGAGACGGGTCAGGGTTGAGGGAAAGGTGAATGGAGCAAAGTACAAGGATATCCTCCATGAAAACCTGTTCCACAGGACTCAGACTGGGCCGAAGGTTTACTTTCCAACATGACAATGATCCTAAGCACACAACCAAGACAACACAGGAGTGGCTTAGAGATAACTCCGAATGTCCTAGAGCGATCCAGCCAGAGCCCTGACTTGAACCCTATTGAACATCTCTGGAGGGACTGGAAAATGGCTGCCACTTATGGTCGCCATCCAATCTGACTGAGCTTGAGAGGATTTACAAAGAAGACTGGCAAAGCTTGTCGCATCAAACCCCAAAAGACTCAAGGCTGTAATTGCCGCCAAAGGTGCTTCAACAAAGTACTGAGTGGAGGGTCTGAATACTTATGCCAAAGTGATATTTCAGGTTTTTTTCTTTTTAATAAATTTACAGGCATTTCTAAAATTCTGTTTTCACTTTGTCATTGTGGGGTACTGAGTGTAGATTAATGAGAAAAAAAAATGAATTTCAACTGTAGAATCAGGCAGCAACGTACCAAAATTTACAAAAGTGAAGGGGGTCTGAATACTTTCTGAATGAACTGTAAACGAATAAATGTAGCATTAGAAAAAAAAGTTTCTACTATTTGATGTAGATTCAGCTTTATTACTTTCCGCTACAGCTTGAAAAATATATACTTTTCCTCAACTGTGAAATGATACATTTATAGCTTTCTCAGATGATATTTTTGGCTTTATTTGAAGACTTTTAAAAAGAAGCAATGGCTCTATACAATGTATGTACTTTATTGGGTGATGGAAGAGGATTTTAAGCATAATAATATTTTTATTTTCCAAAGTGGATATGAAAAAGTGTATACCTTTTGAGGAAAAAAATAGCAGGTTTTTTTTTCATGAAAGTGCTTTCACACTGTGACAACCAGAAAAATTACAATTGGGCATTTTCTAAAATAAAAGTGTTGCGGTTTGTACGCTGAAAAAAGGCTGACAATAATTTTTAAGGGATTATTGGTTACTACAGGCAACTAATTGTCCAATTTATAGGGAAAATCAATTAATACATCTAGAATCATTCTTAGGGAATCTTACATTTAATGAGAAGTTTCTGGGAATAAGTATTTAAATTACCTACAGATTAACTTGGAAAGTATGCCTTGCAACTCTTGAATTTTACAGTCAATGTAAAAAACACACTTTATTGTTCTGATGCTAAGTAAATGTTTTATCTTGAAATAATGGATATTTACCCACTTGTGAACCACTTAGATAGAATGGTTTAATAATGACAGAACTACAATTCACTTGTAATCATTACACCAAGTTCCATGGTGCTTAGAAATCTAGTGATTAACTCTGAACCCAAAGTACCATTCATGACTTTAGAGTTACCCAAAGTTCTAACTGCCCATTTTCCACTTTGGGACAGTTGTAGCCAAGCCTTCCAAAGAGAGCTATCGCCATACTGCACAACTGAACTACAGTTTTATTGTGTTTGAAAGGAAGTGTGAAAATTAATGAAAGTTACGATGAATAAGAATATGTCACTAGTACACCCTAGTGGTGTCCAAAATAATTCAGATCTGAAATGTCCCATTTTGAGTTTGCAATAGTCATTTCAACATCAGCTGAAGTATTTTGACACTGACATAGCTCAGAGCTTGGACTTTCAGAAGATCAGCATCAGAAAATGTTTTTTCAGCTGGTTTTGTGGCTGAAACAACTGTTTCCAATCCAAAGCACTTTGCACCACTTAAGTTCACCACGGCATATTGAAAAGGTGGACCTTTTAACTGAACACTAAAAAAAAAAAACTAATATAAGAAAAAAAAGCTATACTAGGTGAGGAAAGTGGACTACTTAGAAGAAATAATACATGTCAATACAGTTTTTATAAGCAACCAGATAAGCGCATCTAGAATGAACTTTTTCTTTTTTACACACAAAGAAAAAAGGATTTCTGCAGAAAGCCTGATCCGTGTCAAAGCCATTATTTGTGAAGATATCTCGTGAAGAGATAGCCTGTGGAAAAAAACATCACTTGAGAAGAGCATTCAAGAGCTTCTTCAATTCTAATCTTAGGGTTGACTCTTTAATTGCAAATGAAATTAAATTCATTTTACCCATTGTGCTTGGATCCTGCATAAGTACAAAAAACACACTCAGAATTTCTCACACTGGCACAGAAGGTAAGAACTGCTGTTTTGAGGCTGCCTGTTGGAACTTGCTCTTCGCTCTTTATTGCAGCTCTGGTTGACAAGAGTTATTTTTATGCTTCAATCACACACCATTAGACAGAAATACATGATTACGGATAAAAATTATTTCTTCCAAGGACCATTAGTGGTCAGGAGGGGAAGTCCATTGTGGTCACAGGTGACTATGGAAGAATCTGAAATAATGGAAAGAAATCATCCTGCCCTTCTCCCAACTTCAGACATAATTTACATCATTTTCTAGACTTTGCAGAAAGGCTTTTGAACAACCAAAACCGAAACCGCAATCAGGGCTCTGAAGACCCAGTATTAGGCATAGATCTATGTCAGTGCTTCTCAATATCAGTAACTTTTAAAATGTGTGGACTTCAAGTCCCAGAATTCCCTGTGCTGGCTTGATAATTCTGGGAACTGAAGCCCAAACATCTAAAAGTTATTTGAGACTGAAAAATGCTGAACTAAGTTGTCCCATTTCCTTTCAAGCTTTAATGCGTAGCTTGCATCTTTCCTGAAAGGTTTTTTTTTTTTAAGTTAACATGTGTATTTATCAGATCCCATTTGGATACACTCTTCTTGCAGGACCTCATCTGAAAATTAGCTTCAGAAGAAATTAGTAATAATAGTAATAACAATACTAGTAGTAAGTAATATCATCATCAACACCAACATTCTTATAACTATGTAAGCGCTTGCATCCCTGTAAGGCATGGAGTTAAGAGCACTGTTGAGTAAAACAAAGACTATAATTCCACAAAAATACAGACATCAAATACCCGTTTCTATAACACCACTATTTTTCTTCCTTTTACATACAAAAGCGTTTTTAAATGATCTGAAATCCATGTTGGTCATTTTTAGTCCTATTCATTTCACAGGTATGCATGAGTGTGAGAAATCAATTGCTGCCAACTGGAAATATGGTACTTATTATTGACAATTAATTATATGACCTGCGTACTTTAACCCTATGTAATATTTTTCAACTCCAAATAGTGAGTAAAAAGCATCTGGGTAAATGAGCACAATCTAGTACAGCAATTTGATAAAGAAATTGCACATTTCAAAACAGATACTGTACTGAAAAGCGGTGACATTATCTTACTATCCTCATTCTTACTTTAGAATCAGCATGTCCATGCAAACAACAAATAACCTCACATTTATGAACAGCAGAATTTTTTTTAAAAAAATGAGGGCATCAATGCTTATTCCACATAGGAGCTGCAATTGGCCCCTGTGGAGACCTTTCAACAACAACAAATTCATCAGGGTTGCCAACTGCTTGGTAGTGGATTAACAAATCCTGAATAGCGCGTTCTTCAATCTGAAATGAGAGGGGAGAAAAGGAAGGGAGAAAATCTTAGGTATCTGGCAAAAATTGGAATAAGAGCAAAAACTCACAGGGCAAAGCACACAGGACAGTGACTAGATCTTTCATATATACTAAACTGTTTAATGGGATAAATCACAGCTTATTACTTTCAATTATGGATTCTGGATTCCACAGTTAGAAGAGCAATCCATAAGGTTTTAACAAAACACAAGGGAAGCAGCCATCAATTATATCTAGCTATGCTACTAAAACCACGACAATTTAGGGTAATCTAGGTATAAAATGCTTAAACTGAAGTTTAAATAAACGTATTGCAGCCTAAAACCTCAAGAATATTGTACTATATGGCATTTTTAGAAACAGCACTAAGGCTCCTTGGAACCCCAAAAGAAGGAAGAGATGAAAAGAAGGCAAGAAGCAGACTTTCGTATAGGGCATAATTCTGACTTTTATTACTCTTTACCTGGATCAAAGCTAAAGGTTTTTCTCTACTTCGTATAAGAGCAGCTTCTTGCTGAAGTTCTTCTTCTACAATTTCTGCAAATGTCATAGGCAATGCTGCAGCCGGGTTTAAGGGTGATGCTAACCAAGGACTGCAAGATAAGTTACAAATACAAAGCATCACATTTTTACAATATGTGCTTTTGTACATATATATATATATTTGCAGTATAAATTGAACTTACTTCTGATTTTCTGACGGTGTTGGTTCACAAGAATAATCACTTTCTGCTCCAAGAGCAATGGTATTTGCGTACCTGCCAACAAAAATAAGTACAAGAATTTTTTAGAGAGCCATGCTGGCGCAGTGGTTAGAATGCAGTATTGCAGGCTAATTCTGCTGACTAAGAGCAAGGTTGACTCAGCCTTCCATCCTTCTGAGGTCGGTAAAATGAGGACCCAGATTGTTGGGAGGCAATATGCTGACTCTGTACATCTCCTAGAGGGGGCTGTAAAAGCACTGTGAAGCGGTATACAAGTCTAAGTGCTGTTGCCATTGCTAATAACAAGTGTTCTTTAAGGTACAAAAAGCCAGAACACAGAGCCCAAATAACTTGTATAAATGCAGCACTCTTGTCTTTCACAAAGTAAAGGTTATGACCACATAATCTTTATTCAGCGGGTACTAAAATGTTTCAATCAACACTTCCGTGAAGACATAAACAGCCACTGCAGCGTTGGGATTCACTAGTATAGAATATGAGTCAGAGGAATGGTATTTTAAGGAGAAAAAATGGTTGAGTAAAATAGAACAGTACTTCAGCTCAGGATGGTTGTTTTGACAGGACTGGGATTGGCAAACATTCCTTTGGTTATGGTAGAGTGACATATATCTAGACTTCAAAACTAGACTGCACATCAGGAGGAAAAAAATAAGAGACATTGCATTCATCTGCATTAAGTAAAATGTTTTGCAGTCCCAAAAGGATGATCTGTCGGCCATATTGCCTTACCCAGGGACAATGGATGAAGGTTATAACGTAGCCTCCTAATCTTCCTTTGATATCATGTCATCAACTTTTGTGTGTGTGGGAGGGGGGAGGAACAGGTACAGATAGCAGCAGAAGGGCAACTTTTAATCATTTCAGTGGGTTGGAGGTAAGAACAGTTTGCTTCCCGTTCCCCTCATTAAAACTTCCCAAAACTTTAAAATGGCTGACAGTGACCCAATTAAGAAAGATTTCAGTCTTTGGAATATTGGATCATGAATAGTAGGAAAGAATGCAGGAGGCACCTCAGCAGTCTGCTGCTCTCACCCTTCCGTTTTGAGAAAACAGAAATCATGAAAAGTCATACTGAAATTTGACTACTTTGTCACTGAATTTTGGCAGCCTAATTTCATGATGCTGGACCGCCACTGAATGGCCACCACATCCTTACAGAATGTACACCAAAGTAAAATAATACTTCTTTACTGACCTTTTTTTTTTTATCCTCGCATGTATTTTCAGTGTTTCTCAGAAAGGTATTTTATCAGAAATGGAAACACAATTTAAATCTTTCTCACCTCAAACATTTTTGAGCTGGTACATTCTCCATCACTTTAGCACAATTGGCACCAACTACTTTTTTCTCTTCTAACAGAAGATCTCTGAATGGTTTTGGCAAAGCAGAATGCAGTGAGGAAGCCCTAAAGTAAAATAAACCAAATCTTACTACGCTGCATTTACTGATAATCCTAGTGCAATTCTTCCACCAACTAACTTATCTTTTCTATAGGTGAAATGAACCTCTCAAAAGAATGAATCTTCATGATTGCTGTCCTAGAACATTACTTTTCTGTATTCGCTACTTCCGCGTTCAATCAGTACAATGCATTGAGGAATCTGCTTTTGCTAGAAACTCTAAAATCATTCAATTAAGGGTAAGTAATGCCTTTGGAGGGGGGCCTTTAACATAATCGATGAAAATCACAAAATAATAGCATACACTGAAAGATATTATCAGTAGGCTGCATGGATGATGCGTCCCCTCAGGACACCGCTATAGGACATTGCACGCCATCACTCTGCTGCATACCCAATTACCACAGTTCTGTTTTACGTCTAAGGATATTTACCCATGTAGTATGGCTGTGTTACTCTTATCTATCTCATCTTTTCTACTACCTTCTCTTATTGGTATGATTATATACTTTGTTGTTTGTATGGATACTGAGAGCTTATGCACCGGAAACAAATTCCTTGCGTATCCAATCACACTTGGCCAATAAAGTATTCTATTCTATCAGTAATCTGGCTGAACCTAATATAGCTTGCTAAATTTATAGTTCAACTACACTAAATTATATGACCAAAACCAAAAATAAGTTGTAAGGGACACACAAAGCAATTAACAGTGACTAGTCTCCCCCTCTAAACTGACTTTCCTTCAAGCGTGGGTTGAAAATAGCTGAAGTAGGGCTTATTTTAAGGGAAATATTCGAACAATTCTGTTACCTTAAAATAGGGGGTGAGCACAAATACATGATGGCCTTATAAAGTTTTCCTTTTTACTATCACAACATAAAAACCATTGCACCATTTTTTTTTCTGTTAAGACACAAAATGCTCTCCCTCTCAACAAGGTATTTCTTCTTTTCAGGCGTTGGAGTAATTGGGATGTTGTGGTCTGCACCTCCATTAAGTTTCAACATTCTAGATGAAGAAACACACTTACAACGTTGATGTACCGTGAGTATTGCAAGCCTCCTCATGGCCTGAGTTAGGCAAAGAAGGAGGTTTTTCAGTTAAAGCCACCAAAGGTCTTAAGCATAATATGAGAAATAAACAATACTCAGAGATGGGAACCTGCTAAACCTGTTAACTGAGTGGGGGGAAAAACTCTGACCATCTGGCACTTAGGAAAGTAACAGCATAATGTATCCTGCCAAGAAGAAGTCACATCTCCCAAATAGATAAATTGTTATGTTCTTTCACCAGAGATGTATATTCACACATATACACATATTTGGAAATTATACTGAAATCCATTTCCGAATGGAAAGATTAGTCTCTGTTCTTTTAGTCTTCTTCCACGTTTCACTCTTAACAACAATCTCTACATATTTTACTTAATTAATCTTCAAAGAACAATATGTATCCCTGATTCCACAAAACCGTGAAACTGGACATTATTTTTGGCAAGAAAAATGCAAGTATGTTTTAAGGTAGCCTGATTCTCCATGTCAACCAAAAAAAAAAAAAAAAATTCCAAAAGGTCCCACACCCTTCTGGCGTATTTTCTTGCCAGAAGACCTGCTGGATTTCCAAGACAAGTATCTTATTTCATTGCAAAACAACGCTTCAAGAGAATGCCATATACTTGCAAGCACAAAAATCTCAATTTGGTGCCAAATGCCATGTTCGTTTTTAAAAATTAGAGTTAGGGTTTTATATTTTAGAGCAGGCTTTTATGTAATATTTACTGTGATTTTTATTATTGCCTGTTCACCGCCCTGAGTCCCGTAAGGGAGATAGGGCGGTATATAAATTTAAATAATAAATAAATAAATAAATTATGTCATATCAACGTATCTCAATGTTAAGTACACCTCCGTTTTTCTCACTATTAACTAAGTACTCAGGAATATTCAGTGAATACTTTTTTTACTAATACTATTTACTGATACAAAAACATAAACAAACTAAGCCTAAGATATTTATTTTACCTGGAAGCCTTAAAGACAAAGATAAACACAGTTACTCAATGAACCATGTGCATACACGAGTCTACAAGTGACTCTATAAACTTTTAAAATAAAGATTTTGTACTTCCTTTGGACATAGTCATGCTCTTGGTCCAAACTACCCAATATTTCCAAAGAACACTCCCCCATAGTGATACTTCATGGTCTAAAGTGGTTTCTTTTCCTATCTAGAGATGCTAGGGATGAATCAAAAATTTACATTCAAATCAATATTGTCCTTCCCATACATGAGTCTGAAACAAAACTGAAATGACCCCAATAAGCAGTAACCTAAAAAAATAAGAAGGTTCATACCACACAGTCGCTGGTTTTGTAGTTTTGGGAGCTGTAGATAGCACAACTGCATCTGGCACAATCTCTGGGTTGTTATCCTTAGCAGCCAGAGCCATCAGTTTCTTTTGCTTCTGAGAAAGTTTATTTCCATGAGAAGTGGCTCTACTAAAATTAGACACAGAAATGTAACATTATGTTACTAAAGTTTATCAAACAGAACCGTAAGCAAAGACTATTAGTCACAAAACTAATGGATTATATATTGTGAATTTACAAAATTATTTGCCATTGCTGCCTAAATTCATAATTAGAATAATAGCAGTTTTAAAAAGAAATATTCCTAATTGTGATTATGTATCTATATAATGGCCCATGTTTACAACACAAGTTCTGCACTACTAATGCTAATTTTTAATCCAAAACTGAAACTTCAGAAACATTGTTTGCAACAAAGTTGTGTTTTTTTTTAAAAAAAAAAAAAGATACTCAACAAATTAGGACTTTAATACTCATCAGTGAAATTGATTGTACTGCACCCTTTTTACTAACCATGAATTTATTTTTGGCATGCCTTCACATTTCTGCAAATTTTCTTCACTTTCCATAATAGTTCTTAAATCAACAGCAGGAGGACTGGCAGGACTGAATAAAAAAAAATACAAATTGTTCACTTCTTAAGATATCTATTTTTACTTACATTCCAGTTGCCAAACACCATTGTAGCCTTCTATATGTAACCGGATGTATAATTTATGTCTACCTCCTCAATTATGGCAAACCTCAAATAGAATGTTTTCGAATGAACGTTTTATTTATATATATTTTTCAGGAAACATATACACCAAGGATACTTTTAGATCCACTAACAACACTCAGTAAAATATTTAAGATAGAATTTTAGGAAATATGTATGGTTATTTTTCTTTTAAAAACTATCATGAATTAATTATTACAGATGGAAAATTGGAACTGCAACCAAACATAATTAGGCTTGCAAGAGTGCTCACTGAAAGGCAGAAATTAGCAGCCTATGCAGAAATACATTAGTGTTTTGTGCAGAATGACCACAAACTAGCCATAAAGTCAGGTGATTTGATTCTTCAAAAATCATTTTGATGAAGGCCCCGCATTTTAATGGAGAGGGAAGTTCACATTCCAGAGACAGAGGACAGAATTTGACAAAAGGCAGAAACACAGAGAAAATGTATACCTAAAAGAGCCGGCAACCCAGTTGGAAGGACTCACATAGGTGCTTTTGTTACTAGGAACACTCTGTGGAGGAGAACGTTTTTGCACTGATGATCCATGACAGATTTTTATTTCTTTATTGGCAGGAGAAACGAACGTATTTGAAATACCCATTTTCTCTTTCACCTGTAGTCAAAACATACGGCCATTACATTGTTACAGAAAAGGAACCTTATGAACTTTTCAGATAATAAGAGTTCAATCTATTTTGGCTGAAGTCTACAAAGGCAACTACTCTCTCTCTCTCTCTATCTATCTTATTTTAAAAGCTAGTTCTCGTGTCACATTGCAACGCTTTTAACATTCTTCATCTTGGGAAATTCACCTGGGCAAACCCTACTGACTTTTGGGCCACTTTCTCAACTGATTTTTTTTCCTCTTATTTAAATAATTTATATGGCTAGCCGTGTCACCATGATGATTCTGGGAAGCCCATGAAAATTGAAGCATGAACCACGGCAATTCAATGATTACATTCTCCAAGAAGTTTGGAAAGGGGGGCTGTTTTGGCCTGACTTTCTCTAGAAGCTTTTTTTTTTTTTTTTTGTAAACAAGTCTTTGGGCATGCAACACTCCAGGAGTTTTTGCAAAGGGGCTTTTTGCTGTTCTGCCACTCAGGCATCATTTTTATTTTATTTTTTATTTTATTTTTTATGCAACTGAACCCAACCTTGCTCATCCCAGCAGTCAGGCCCGGTATACCCGGCGATTAATGGGAGCTCTAACATGGTGAAAGTGAGCTGGGACCCTGAAGTGCAGGGCAGTAGGGATCTCAAAAGGGCAGGCTGGCAAAGGTGACTGAGACTGGGATTGGGCTGGAGCAGCTGCAGCTTCCCAGGATGTGGCAAAGCCCTAGAGCCCCATGGTTCTGGGTCTGCTTGCTGCCCTGCAAGGCCGGGTCCAGAGTGGCCCAAAGGCAGAGATGGGGGGGGAGATAGACAGTTGGGGGGGAACTGGAATGCCTCTGCAGTTTAAGTGCAGGTGAGCTGCCAGCTGCCCCTACATTTCGATCACATAACCGCATAACTTTGGGCACATGCTGTATGCCCATTTTTCAGCACTTTCACAATTTCAACGGTTGCTGAACAAATGGTCATAAATCAAGGACTACCTGTAAATTATTCTGCACTAAACAAAACATCACTTTTATGTGGTATAATATTTTGCAGATTGCAAAGCCACAATCTGTAGTAGAGGGTTAACATCTGCAGAATTCAGGAAACAGCCCCCACATAAATGAAATACACATAAACCGCCAAAGCCCAATCGACAGGACATGGCAGTTTAGATAAGAAAGCATCTCCCCTTAGTCATTTAATCATTGGGTAGGGCTATTCTGTCTCTAAAAAGCTTATTAAAAGTTTATGCTGTGTTTAATATATATCAGTATTAAGGAAAAACAACCAGCAAACACAAACCTCAGTTTTATCTGTAGGGAGACCTGCTGTGAAATCAGGAGACTGCAAATCTCTGGGACTGTTCACTCCCACAGAACTGCCTTCAGAATCAGATGTCAGCATTTCGGGAAGGGATTCAATAGAATTAGCTTTATCCAGTTTCAATATTCCTGCATGAACTGGAGGGGAGGGGGGGGAGGAAATACACAATTATCTTGGGACAAATCAGAAATGCCCAGGGAAGCAAAACTACTGATACTGCATTCTGCTATTGGAGAATGGATCACTATGCCGTACAACAACATTCCTGAAGCTCAGCAACTTTCAAGATGTGTGGATTCAATTCCCAGAATTCCCTTGTCAGTTGGGGATTAAAAATCAAGTTGCTGAGATCCAGAAAGACTGTTCTAGTCGTCAGATTGCCTGCTTGAGTTCACAGAGAAAGGGATTGCCCCAAATCCCCCGTTTCAAACATGCAGTCTTCAGGATCCGCTCTTTTATGCACAATTTTCAAGACTCCCATTGCCTCACATTGTCACTTCTGGGGAACAAGGTGGCAATGGTTTTTCTCCTTTGCTGCGGAATTGGAATACCAGAATGTGTGACCTCTTAAATACAAATTACACTATTTCAGTCATTTCGAGGAAACATTTTGAAACAGCATTGCTTCACGCATGGAATGGTTTTCTGAGTAATTGAAACACCTCTTTCAAATTTTCAGTTCAAGATTGCACGCCTCAGTGATGTGTATTATAATAAGTTGCTTGCGTGAAAAAAAAAAAAGATTGGTACATTTTCTTCTTACCAAATAAATTTATCATTTGGAAAATGTAACACAATCTTCCTTTTAATTTTCATTTAGTAAGGTTAGGAGGGCTACAACCCATTTAATTTTCAATTAAGAATGTAGCAAAAAATAGTATTGTTTTTTACACAGTCACTATTTTTTACACATATTTACATTTAATAGTATTAATTTCACACAATTCAAAAATGTTACTTTGAAATGTTACTTTAAAGCTACACAAAAATGTAGTACACAAATAAGTAATCTGCTATGTGCAGGACGCTAAATATACTTTTTATTACAGGGAATTCTAAAATGCTCAACTATTTAACTATTTAACTCTAAAATGCTCAACTATTTAACCAATGTAAGCTAATTCTAAGTGACTGATACAGGCAGAAATGCACCCATTTTAATTAAGTAATCATTATATAATCAAGGAAGTGTTAATTTTATTTCTTAAAAACCCTTCTTAAAATATAAGGGTAGATTACACTGGAAAGTGATGAGGTTTTTAGTGCTTTACTGTTGTCCAACGAGAGATATTTATGCATATGCTTGATGTAATCATTAAGATCAATGAGGCTTGAAGTAGTCACTTTGGATAGTGAGATGGGCAGCATATAAATTTATTTATTTAATTAATTAATTAATTAATAAAGCATTACTTCAAAATAGTTCCCAGCTTAAACCTGAATGAAATTGAAACTCAAAGACTGAAAACTTCTGGAGTTCAAATCTATATTCACCATTTCTTGAGCTGTATGTTTAATCAGCAAGTTTATATCTTAATAAGTCTTGTGTTAATAAGTAAACATTATAACTAGAGTATGCATTCATTAAGAGGAACAATGTGTATTTACATGTAACATGATTACTAAATCATATCATGCAATTTTTGTGTGTTTGGGTATTTTTATTGTAATTTTTCAGATGACTATATCATTCTGATCCTCTCTCTTTACTGAGATATCTGCAAACTGCTGCCACCCCCCAGTATTGTGATCAACTTTACAGAAAAGAAACTTCAATGTTTAAATTTCACAAGACTTGTAGTATTTTTTCATTTTACAATCTCCTTTTATGTGATCTCTCCATGGAGTAATGGCAGTAAACTCTTGTGCATAATGTTATAGGGGGAAAAAAGCACTGTGGTTGTTGGGATATGTATTAACTTGCTTCAGCAAAAAAAAACACTTTTTAAATTTTACCTCCTTGAATATGTAAGGGGAAGATATATATATAAAAAAGTTAACATGAGTCTTGCTTCAAATAATTAAAACAATGGCATCTTTTTCTGGTGTTCTAAAAACTGTCTCCAGTTCTCTGGAATTACCAACGAAGTAAAGTGGCTGTGCACGTATAGCTTTCAAAGCAGCTACACAAGATGTGAAAAGGACACAGCTCCTGTAACGATTCAAAGAAAGCTGCTTCATTCGTGCTATTGTGCATTGTGAAACATCTCTTACAAACTCTTTCTACAAATCTAGTACACAATACTCTTCATTTATGAAGTAATTGAACCTTGGGATACATCAAATTCCGAAGTTAATTCTAGCACTACAACAAACCCCAGCCATTGTAAGCCATGTGTTAAAGGTTCATGCTTTATAGCCATGCCATTATGCATGAAGTTACCTAAAATCACTCTTAAAAAAAAATAGATTAGCCTTGCTTTTTGCCACTAACCTGTAGGTGGATTCTGTATAATATCTGACAGATTATACCCTCCTGAACTGTCGGAACGTCTTCGAGGTTTCTTTTTAGCCTTTGCTTTAGCTTTCTTGAGGAGTGCTTCTCTAATTTAAAAAAAACAACAACCAATAATGATTTTCATCTCACTAATTCCTTCAAAGTAATTAAAGTGATCATTGGTACCCTGTAATCTCTAAGCAACAGGCAGACTCCTAATCCTTTTACAGACAATATGTTGAAATTCAGTGGCATGAGTTTCCCATTATATTGAGAAAGGAAGCACATAACAATTGTAGTAATTCCCCTTAGCACAGCAAAAGCTCAGTGGAAAACACCCCTCTCTATAGGGAAGAACTCCACTCATTTTGTGTCACTGCCCCATCAACAGTGGTAGACAGCCCCAGCCATCAAAGAAAGACCTAAGACATTATTATTCAGTGTTATTCAAACTTGGCAACTTTATGTGTATGGCAACTTCCAGAATTTCCCAGCCAGATGCATCACACATATTAAAGTTGCCATTTTCAAAAAACCCTGATTTAAAATGTCCTTCCCTCTTACTAGAGCCTCCCAGATTAAAATTTCTCCAAATTCAAGATCAATGGTTTTCTAGCTCCAATTTAGAAAAGCTTTTAATTCCATTCCAAGGTTCCTTTAGTACTCTGCAATTTACCTTGTACCATAACGCTAAAGTGGGCTTACTACTCATAGTACAGGCCGACTAAGCTCAACACCTGAACACTGAAGTTGCCTAACCTCTTCTCTTCTTCTTGTTTAGCTTGAACCAAGATCATGGAAATTACAGCGGCCATTTATAGTACTCAAGAAGCATCAAAGAAAATCTTCTAAGACAGTGGTTCTCAACCTTTTTAATGCCACGACCCCAACTGGTCATAAGTCGAGGACTAAACCGGTCATAAGTCGAGGACTAAACCGGTCGTAAGTCGAGGACTACCCAACCGGTCGTAAGTCGAGGACTTTCCCTGCCCGGGAGCGCTGCGCATGCGTGGTTCCTCCCCCTGCGCCGGCCGAGGCGTAGCTGGCAAGCGGCAGAGACGGAGCAGGCCGACCACCAGCTGGCCCAGCCCAAGGGAGGTAAGGCACCCGCTGGAAAAGGGGGAAAAAATGGCGGACAAAAAAAATGGACAAAAAAAATGGCGGACAGCCTTGCTTGGCGACCCCCATGAAATGGTTGATCGACCCCAAATGGGGTCCCGACCCACAGGTTGAGAACCACTGTTCTAAGAGAAGAGTACACAACTCTCAGCTGTTTGAAGGCTGGACCAGATTTTCTGCAGCATGGCAAGCACCCGTCAATGTTTTTAAGAGTGAAATTGGTGCTTTAAGGCATTACAAAGCTTTGAATACACATTGTGCCTCCTTTGCCCCCTCCCCCCAACAATATAAAATGGGCCCTGTTCTTTGAGCCTGTTGCCTCGGGGGAAGGTGGGGGGGGGGCTCTGAAGTCTGGCAGTCCCGATTTATTAAGAAAGATATTTAATTCCATTCCAAATGTACGACTGTTTCTTAAATATTAGAGCTGTATGGAGTGGCAGTACTTCAGAGCCCTCCGGACTGTCTTCTCTGGAGTGAATGCAGGACTCAAAATCCTGCAATCTAAACGTCAAAGTGTGCCCCTTTGCTCGGATATTGCATTTCAGCACAAGTGATTTTATACGTGTGCAAAAGACCGAAGGCCAATGCAGCAGCAGCCCCCCCACCCCCAGAGTAGCAGCTCTTGAGACTCTGCTATAACACATGGAGCTGCACTTAAAAGCTTCTTCGCTGAAGAAGACTCCGTTGGAAGAATGAAGAGCTTCCTTCAGAAGAATTCAGAAGAAGACAGAAGAAGACTTCGATCAGAAGAAAAATAATTCTCACTGCAAAGCTTGCTCTGTGTTCCGCTCCTCTTTTAGGAAGACAAAGGTTTCTCCTTCCTCAGGCTCCAGAGAACTAATATCAGGACCATCTTGGTATGGAGTAATTACCCTGCGCTCCATAGCAGGAATCTGCAACATTGTAACATTTTTTTTATTTGAAAATTAGGAGAAAAAAAGAGGAAAGTATCAAATTTGTATTTGAAAAAGCTGTTAGGATGCTTAAATTCTGGGGGGGAAAAACCGTAGAGTTTAAAGAGTGCTACAATGTTCTAACGGGGTTACATAATGAATGAATGAATCTCATAGAATAATATATAAAAAACACATAACGCAGCCTTCTTTATCAAAAAGTAGAAAATGTTCGTGCATTTTTACTTATATTACACAAAATGCGACACTGTTTTTTGCTGCCACAGGAATGTAATGCAATATAAAAAGAAAATCTATATTATTCTCTAAATCAACTTTTTCTGCAAAGGAAAAAAAAGCAACATCGGGGATGGCCAATCTTTTCAGGAAGCCCCCACTCCTACGCATTCATAAATCGTTATCAAGGACAGTAAAAATTAAAAATGAATTTACCAAAATCTCACAATATTTGGGCTCTTGATAGTAACGCCAAATTTACAAGCATTCATGCTGGAATGTCATGGTATTTCTAGACCTAAAACCTGAAAGTTATCATAGAGAAATAATGAAATATTGAATAGGGATGTTCCAAAAGTTTCACATAAATTGCAAGCATCTTGGTTCCTACGTATGTATTCCATGCTACTGTCAGTTGTGCTGCTCAACTGGTTATACTATTTTTAGAGCTGCATTGCTAATACTAAAGCTATGTGTTTTTTTACAAAATGAGAACCTATTCACTCTGCCAAGATTCACTAGTGCATTTCATTTTATTTGGAACATCCCACAATATCTTTCTATAATTTTAATGAAGCATGAGACTGCTATCAATGCCACCTATAACCCAAAATAAACTGGGAGGGGAATTTCAATTTTTAAAAAAATAACTTCAAAATGAACCTTATCACTTAGTCTACATCCACCCAAACAGATACCGTGTTTTCCCGAAAGTAAGGCCTACTCCCAAAATACGCCCTAGCTTGATTTTTGGAGGTGGGCCTAATATAAGCCCTACCCCAAAAATAAGCCCTTAAAAATCAAGCTAGAGTGGGGGTGGGGGTGTAGATCTGCCCCACGCGCCCCGCACCCACTTACCTTACAGCCAGGCTTCTCCTCGCCGGCCCACTTTTTCTGAGGCGTCTTTTGCAGCCAGGCCTGTATTTCTCAGTCACAGGCCTTTCTGGAAGGCCACTGTAGTCAAGAACAGAGCTATGGATTGAATCCATAGCTCGGTTCTGCAAGACCTCTGCAGCCAAGAACCGAGCTATGGATTGAATTCATAGCTCGATACTCAGCTGCGTAGACCTTCTGGAAAGGCCTGTGGCTGCAAAATGCAGGCCAGAATGCAGCTGCTCCTTCGGCCCCAGAAGAAGTGGACCTGCTGGGCGGGGCTGTCAGTGCCACAGGTGAGTAAGACTTCCCCCCCAAAATAAGACCTGGTGCCTCTTTTGGAGGCAAAAAAAAATAATAATAAGACCCGGTCTTATTTTTGGGGAAACAAGGTACCTAGAAATTTTATCTTTCAAGTTAATTTAAATTGCAGTCTGTAGTCTGTTTTAGCTAATCAGTGCAGAACTCACCATTTTTCTGTAAGAGATAGAAAGATCTTTCAAAACTTCATCACTTAAAACATCCAGAACTCTATGACAAATACAAATGAAATGTGATTCAGTAATTACATCCTGCTGTGCCCCAGTAGTAATCAATGAAAGCTGAACATATTGATTTCTGAATATTTTTTAAAATTCGTTTTCTTAAAGCATAAAGTATTCTAGACTTAAGTTCTAAGTGACCGGAATTGAGAAAAGAGGCATTTTGAACTTGGAACAAAACAACACCTTGAAATGGATGTGTAGCTTTGGAGCAAAATTTGAAACCTGTCAGATGTTTTATTTCGCCCTCCTAATACAATTTATGGAATCTGTATGTTCTGATATGAGGTCAGAACACTCAAATCGGTTGTTTTAACTTCAAAATTCTTCATATGTGAAAACAGAATTGGTTAGATAGCAGCATTTAAAGAAAAAAAAATTTTACACCTCATGTAGGTATATATTCAAACTGTGGGTGTTTTTATTAAATATATGGATTATGTTGTTAGTTAATATAATTCTGTTATTCCTATTTTTAGTACTTTTGTCCTGTTTCAATTAAAAAGCAAAAGAAAATCTTGCCTCTCTAGATAGTTTGATTTTGATGGTCTACGTTTCATATTTCCAAATAGGAGAGAGGGCTAAAGGATGTGTAACCATTCAGTAAGACATATAGATATCAAGGCCCTGCTCTTACCGTGTTTCAAGCATGGCTGCCATGTTTAACACAATGAACTGCAAGCAGGACTGTTTTAGCTGTTCAGCATTATATGTGGCTGAAAATTCCAGGAGCTCAGCAGTATTCTTTAAAGTCACTGAAATTTATAAATATTTGTTATTTATTTGGAGAACATGACAGAGACAAATAAGGTGATCTCTTTTCGCCTGGTGCCAATTGTATAGGATCTATACATCAAGGTCTATAATCATATTTCAGCATAATTAACAAGGTTCTAGGGAATTTTCTAAAATGCATACTCAGATCACACTGACAGCCAGAATTCATGGAGCATAGATTGAAAACTTTGGGTAACTGCACTTATTTTTTTTTTAAGAATGGGATTTCTTCTTCCATGTTTAATAAACAACATGGCCATGTGCTCACTGTGATACAAATTTCTACATTATTTTAATAGGAAATGAAAGTACAACAACATTCTGAAACAAAAACTCACATTTCTCTGTAATGGCTACTTCACAAATTTCTTTTAACCGTAACATAAGGAGCTGGTCTGCCACCACAAGAACATTGCAGATGAATTCCACATTTTGAGATTCTGGAAATCAGTGAAAAATTGTAACTTGAACAAATTTTCAACTCACTCTACTTACTGTCCATGAACCAAAGTCATCACATGCTACCATTTGTAGTATATTAATTCACTTTACACCTAATGGTTTCAAATGATTGAATAAGAATATGCAAGTTGTCCCTTAAAAATACTTCTATTTCATTTTCCACAATGAATTACTCTTTTACCCTTTTCCTCATTTCAACTTTCTACAAACATATTTTCAAAAATATCTTACTATTTGCAACAGTAACTGTGGTGAATATAGGATGCTAATTTTAAATGAAGAGTGTTCCTTCCTCATGTAATCTTGGCCTCATTTGCAGTGGAGTTTCATACCGTAGTTTGGGGCTGTCAATACTACTTTCTTTTTTACTCCCAATTTCCACTACCGATGTGTATCTTATCCCTAATTATGTGCAACATGAATTTTCTCACTACTCATTTCTATTCTAGTAATGTAAGAGATGTTAGTGCCCTTACCATTTACTGCAACAGCTTCATCTGTGTAAATATAATCCAGGATGACCTGCAGGATTTCAGTTGGGAACGGCAACTCTAGAGATGCACAACATGTTGCCTACATGAAAAGGAGTTTACACAAACATTTTCAGTGCAAATCCACTTTATGATACAGGACAATTTTGCTAAGAAGTTTCAAAACAAGTCGTCAGATTTCAAAAGACATATGCTGCCGACACAAAATAACTATTAAGAAATAAGTATCTATGATTTTCAGATAATGAATATCATTTGCCTATTCTGTTGATAGTTCACACTGGTATACATTATTTTCATTCTTGAAAATCAGGAGGGATTTTCCCAAAATTGTATTATCCAAGGCATGCTTTTTTCCATGACAACCAAATTAATGCTTCTTACATTTTAGCATAATAGGTACAAAAGAAGCAATATATTTAACCAACTCCGGTTTCTACATGAATTGTGCTTATATACCTCTTATCTGAAAGATGATGGAAACCTATCCAACAAAGAGACTTCACAGAATTATCTATTTCCAATGAGATCAGTTGCCAGGAAGAAAGCTAATCCACAGAATAAAGCTAAAAAGCAGTTGGCAGGCTCTTCTGATAGCAACTACTTTGGATCCATACAAGCCCTTATGTTCTCATAGCATATTGTATGGGAATTAATGATACAGTACATCACATCGATGCCTCATCTATTGTTCTGAACTATCAAGCCAAATGCAAACAAGGGGGAAAATCTCATATAAACACAGTATCCTGAAGACATAACTGAATTATTTCAAAAATTTTGGCAATGCTCCATTTTGGAAAATAACTGTAAGGGAGTCTACTGAATGCTCCGTAGCTATTAGTCATCCACTGGCACTTTCAGTATACACTAATTTGAAAAAGACTCGATCTGATTTCATGCTTTCAAGATTTAATAGAAAAACCATTGAACATTCACACAAAAAGAATTCCCAATGCAATTGGGGAGGGGGAGGGAAGGCTTGGATTACTGTTACCTAACACTAATATGTGCACATTATTAGTGATATAACAAGCCATGCTCATTCAGGCACAGCCCTAGGAAATGAAGTGCCAGATCCAGCAATAAATCAATTGCCTCTGTTACCATTACCAACAACCCACAAAATCTCTGTTTTATATTTTATTGTACTGGATGTCGCTTTTAACTTTCAGAATGTTTACGAGTTGGGCAACTTTGGAAAGTTGAGTGATAAATAATAAATGTGCCACTTAACTAGCCACAGTTAAGGCTATGGAAAAATCTATTCCATTGCAATCAGGAGAATAGCAAGGAACATAAGCATTCAGAAAACAGGACACAGCAAAATGGAAATAAATGGAGTAAAAGAGTGAAGAATCAAAGAATCTTCCGATATGGGATCAGGGGTTAATAAATGTGGTAGACAGAACGCCTAATGGCTTCACCAGACCACATGGACTTCACTACAAGAGAATGTGTGACAATAGGAAAAAGGGGTGGCCTTGCTCCAAGATCCAGATACCATCTGGGATTATACTGGCTGGCACACTTTGAGAAAAGAATTGCTGCTGCTGTTGTTGTTATTATAGTGGTTTGTTTTTTTTATCACAAATACAATTTCTATAAAAGTTAACTAATCCTATTCTTTTAAATACTCTTTTTAAATGCTCCGTTATCTATTAAGAATCCACTAAAAACATTAAAAATACTCTTTTTAAATGCTCCTTTATCTATTAAGAATCTACTAAGGTCTACTAAGGCCACTTCTAATAGGCAATGAGGACATTTTAATTCTCTTCCATGTGAACAGTTTTATTATTAACTATTTAATACTTCCCTTTTCCCTGAATATCTGAAGTTTTTCCCACTGAGCAAGGTTCTGCTTCCCACTGTCATATTTATATACATATCATGTCATTAAAATCTATCAATATAGTGAAGCTAATATTTAATACTAATTATAAGTATTAAAATGAAGTATGCATTCTTTAATCAATTATACAAAAAGCAAATACTGCTTTTTTCTTGACTGATTTTTACATCCTTAACAGGCGTGCTATAGGGCATTACTTTAATATACTCCGTAAGAAATTATTTTCTTCACATAATCCCCAGTAAACACTTTTGCACAATTTCTTTTTTTAAAAAGGCATTGGTAATGGATCTGCACACTCACCTCAATCCAAGAGTTGCTCAGCATACTGTGAAAGTAGTCTGCAAAGGAGAGAGATTTCATTCTGACACATATTAAAAAGACACAGAACTGTTAATAAACTAGCCCAAGCCACTTTATATTATACCTACCAAGTCTGGCACAGAGCACACATTTGTGGCATGGGAATTCCTTTCCATCTTTAGACTTGATAGTCACATCACAAAGGTGTGAACTGGAAAAAAAATGACATTATATAGAATACAATATATACAAAGATTATACTAATTATTCAAAAACAGCAATTTATTCCTTACAAAGCTTAACACGTAAACACACAATGTATTTATTTATTAAAAAAAAATAAAAGCATGCAATCACAAAAGCTTCAGCCTTTTTTCAAACGTTAACCAAAGATGGAGCTGACAATTTTTCAAGCAATGTACAAGTTCAGTACCAGCTATCATAATCTGTAGCATCCTAAAGTTTGGTACCCACAACTGCTGTACACACGAGAGTTTTGCAAAGCATTTCAAATCTGAAGCATTTTAAGCTTAAAATGGCTTGTTCCAACCACAGTGGGAGTGTCCCAATGCTGTTCTACCTGCAGTGAAAGTATTTCAAGCTCAAAGCAGTAAATGTAAACTCAAATCCTTTCTGCCATAGTCACAATGGGGTCATAATATTTCTGGTAAAGTTGGGACTATCAATTGTGAATACAAAATATTCAGAAGAGACTGGCAAAAGCCAGGAAAGAGGAATTCTCTATCTGTACTGGACATATTCAGAGCTCAAAGTGTATATTTTGAGCTTGGAATACTTACATTATAGAAGGAGCAACATTTTCATGTTCACTATGTTTGGAAACATTTTAAGCTTAAAATGTTTCAAATGTAGAGCTTTCTTCAGCTATATTCCATATATTACCACAATAGAAAGACATTTTGCCTTTTTAGCCTTTTAAATTCCTGGATATTTTTCTATGATCTGTCTTAAATGATGCCAATATAAATCATCTTGAATATAAAAATCATTCAAGAATAAATCAATAACTGCTTTTTGCATAATTGATTAATGTATACTTAATTCTATTTAATATCTATAATTAGTATTAAATATTAGCTGCGCTATATTAATTGAGTTCTTTAAGTAATTCTGTTAATTCTAGTCCATTAAATCTGCTCTTGAGTTTTCTCACATAATCACATAGAATATTTCTAAGGTCATATTCTTCTTGCTCTAAAGTTTTTTTAAGTTGTAATTTTGCAAAAACAAATTTGTGATCGAAACCAACAATCAGTGCCAGATCTTGTCCTTGCTGATTGAACAGAGATTCTCCCTTTTTGTTTGCAGACATCAATTTCATTTCATCTTGCCCATCTAGAAATGTGCATTTGTAGAGACATATTTTAAGTTGTTTGGGGAATAAATTTGAAGAATTTGTTATAAATATTGAAATTATTTTTGCTATAAATATTGAAATTATTTTTGCTATAAATATTGAAATTATTTTCGCAAAATTCTTAACAGTTACTATCTTGCTTCATTTTATACACCAAAGCCATTTTTCCACTATCTGAGATGCTTTTCTCCCTTAGCTCTTAGATATCCTAACAGCGTATATTTCTGGTGTTGTTGAGCCAGCAAGTTGTTGCAGGTCACAATGCATGTGTTCATCCTCTAATTCCTCTGCTTCTATGGTTGGAGCCGTATCCTCAAATTTCTGATTGCTTTGCCTAGCATTCAAGTTGAGATTATTCTATCATTTCTCGGGCTGTATAGCAGAACTGACTTTGACTTCCTTTTGTTAACTGATGCTCTGTTATTTTAATATCTTCTTGCCTGCATTAGATCCAATGTTACTCTGATGTGTTCCATTCTATTTCAATTCGCTAATTCCGGGAATATCAATGTCCAGTACTGACATTTCTATCTGACAACATCGTGTTTGCTTTGGTTCACCATTCTGCCATTCCACATACCAGTGTTGCAATGCTAAACTTTCTTTTGCTTCTGGGCACATCAGGATTGGCTTCAGTCCAAAATAAATCACCAGCATTACTTGTACTACCCTCTGTTCTTTCCCCAAAGCTCATTGGATAGCTTCTGACCCAAGGAGTACCTTCTAGTATAATACTGACATTGAATGGGTTGCGAGGGTCCATTTGGTTTTCTTGGCAGAATATTGGAGTGGACTGTCATTTTCTTTTCCAGTGGATCTTGTTTAGTCTGATCCCTCTACTACGTTCAGCCTCTCATGGATGACTCTTCTTGGATTATACACTCTATAGCAGTGGTGGCGAACCTATGGCACGGGTGCCAGAGGCGGCACTCGGAGCCCTCTCTATGAGCACATGTGCCATTGCCCCAGCCCCGCCTCCCCCGACCCCCTCACCAGCAGCCCCCCTGGAGGAGTCGCCCAAGCTTGGCCCACGCAGAGCAGCACAGCCAAGGACATGACAGCCAGGCTGTGTAGACAAGACTCTGCCCTCACGCCCCATCGCGCACAGTTGATGCTGCAGGGTGCGGGCAGAGGGCGTGGCCATCATGGTGCTACTGGGCTGCCTGGGCGATCTGTGGTGGGCCCTGCAGGCGGTGAGTGGCCCTGTGAGCAGGCAGGGTGGGGGATGGTGTGGGGGCAGAGCGGGGGCACGGCAGGGGGTGGAGCGGGGACGGGGCCAGTTTTTGGGCACTCAGTCTCTAAAAGGTTCGCCATCACTGCTCTATAGCATAGTTCATAGCCATCATTGAGATGTGAACCCCTTCACCCGCAATTCATGAAGAGTAATTTCTGGATTACACATTGGTTTATTTGGCCTTATAATCCCCACCTCTTCCAAATCCTATAAACTCACCATTTTTTCGGACTGAACTTTGGTTTGTTGCCATTTTTTCTGTTCACAACATTAACTCTTCCATTTTCTATCCTGATTCCATCTAGCCTGCATGAAAAAAATTTAAAAAAATCACTTTTGTAGAGGGAAATCATGGTTATTACAAGAATTTATTTTGAAAGTAACAATAAATAACCAATAGAAAATTTATCTGCCAAAGTTCAATACATGGTATTTTTTCAGTAGTGAGTGCACTTTTTTCAGAATTAGAAAAAGTCTGCTTTTGCATACATTTATTTGTCTATGCCAGCAAAGTAAAAAGATTATGGAGGCTTCCTAGAACAGGAAAGGAATTAGGGAAGCTAAACAGGATTTGCAGCATTACTTCAAATCCTTGGTAAAGCCCGTAACTAATTTGTATAATTTTGTTATTATACTTTGAGTAGCACAGTAAATGCAGTAGAATGTACACTGTCAACTTATACAAACAAGATACATCTTCAGTTGTTAAATCTTCTGCATATTTGTAAATGATTTCAGCTGTATGGTTCAAACAGCAAGGGGGAACCCTCCTCTTAAGAATATTTTCTGTTCATAAAACTTTGCTACAATTGTACATAACTAAATACCAAAAGCCACATATTTCCAAATATTTTTTTCT